CGCGCTCGCGGCCCGGCGGAGGAGGTTGGCGGCCCAGGGGGCGCGGGACCTGAAGTTTGCCCTTACGGTCTGGTTGCGCCCCTTCTCTGGGGCAGGCTTGGCCGTGACGACGACCCTGAAACGGATGCCGTACACGCAACACAACCTTACGCTCGGATTGGCTGGTGGAAGCCCTTGTGTCATTGTCAGTGTTTACGTAGTGCATACATAGTGCCAGGATCTGTACTGGCACGTGCCCCTGGACAAACCGTAGTGGACAGGTCTCTGAGATGACTCAGCCCCACACCAGCGCCTCTAACCCTGACTGGGAGCGGGAGGTCTTCGCCCGATCGCCCAAAAAGGTCTTTGATGTAGCGTTCCTGGTGATAAAAAGACGAAAACTTCCTCGTCTAAACCGGGATTCGCAGGAAGAAAGAACCATTTCGTGTATTTAGAGACAGCAGGATGCTGAGAAGGCCATGAAGTGTAGAATTTGTAGGGGTAGCAGCCAACGGAAAGGATGATGGGGGAAGTGGGTGTCAAGCTTTAGAACTTGCCCTGGGCAGAAAAACCTCTTTTATAAGGAAGATGAAATAATAATATGTACTTATATCCAAGGATGGAGAAACAAGAATTTGCTTGGGAATTTAAGTAGATAGAAATATAAAAAAATTAATCGGTTTGGGGAGTGGCAATATTCATATTGGTATTAGACCAATATTGAAATGTTGAGCTTGAAATGTTAAATATGGATTGTATAATACTTTAAAAATAAAGGCCTTCTCTAATTTTCTCTAATAATGGCCCCTGATACTGGCTTCCCTAATAAGGGCTTCTCTTTCCATCTTTTGTAGGCCAGATCCTGTGGTTTCTATTTACATCAGGTTGAGGCAGAATGATCTATATTAGACCATTTTTTTCCAGCCTTTTCATTCTTAAAACACATTAAAACTTTGACCATCACACTGTACTTACCAAAGTGTAATCAAAGAAAGCATAGTGAGCTCTCTTTATTACATGATCCTTTTTATTTTTATTTTTTGTAAACAAGTGATGTCAGTAAGATATACTAAATTTCAAGTCCACTGTTCTCATACTAGTTTTGACATGCTTTTCATGTCATTTCAAGTGACTTTAAGCTTATGCCCCCCCAAAAACATACCTCACATCTCCTATAATTAACCATTATTTGTTAGATTACTTCTCATTTTTTTGAATTTCTAAATAAGAGAATTTAAATAACATAAACCACTTGTTTGCATATATGATCTTTAACATGACTGTCAGAATATTATCTGAATTTCTTTAGAGCTGTGCTTTCTAAATCAGTAGCCACTAACATTTTTCTTATAAGCAATTAAATTCACAATTTTTGAAATAGCTGAAGATGTGACTAATTTAACAAGCCTAACAGCTACCCTCTTATCTCAAACAGGATATCATTGCATTTATGACATTTTCCTAAATATTCTCTTATTTTCACTACGTTAACAGCTCTGTGAGGCACATAGAAAGTGTTAACGGGCTGAACTCTGCCCCCCTCCCATTTATATGTTGAAGTCTTGACCCTCAGTACCTCAGAATGCGACTGTATTTGGGGGAAGGGCCTTTAAAAGAGGCAATTAAGCTAAAGTAAAGTCATATGGGTGGACCCTAATTTAATATGACTGGTGTCTTTATAATAAGAGGAGATTAGGACACAGGGGGGAAGGACTATGTAAGGACACAGGGAGAAGGCAACCATCTATAAGTCAGGGGAAAGACCTCAGAAGAAACTAACCCTGCCAACACCTGGATCTTTGACTTCTACTCTCCAGAGCTATAAGGAAACCAATTTCTGTTTAAGCCACCTAGTTTATGGTGCTCAGTTGTGGCAGCCCTACAAACTAATTCAGAAAACTATATTGTTCATAATATTGTGGATAAACTATTTTAAACATGAAGTCACACAGCTCATCCAGTGCTTCTTCAGGATGAATTTCCCCAAATTACATTTAGGACAATCTTGCCAGATAAAGAAATACTTTCTGCTGCCCTTTCCTATTTTAAATAGGTAAAGAAAATAATATCAGAAGCAGTAAAGGAAGAGAATACTAAAAGATCTTTTGGGTAGGGAGAAACGGTAAGTAGGGCAGTGACAGCATTAAGAAAAAAATCATTTTTATTGAGATCCCAAAGTTAATTAAACCACCTGCTTCCCCACTGAAATCCTTTTTGCTTGACATGGATTTTGGCCAGAATTGTTAGGTTACAATATATCCAAAATATCTAAGTACTTATTGTTTGGATCTAGTGTGGTTTTAAACTATTCTATTTGTAAAATTACAATTATCCAGCTTGTTTGTAATTCCCTGGGAGGTAAATGCCACATACCACACCCATCAACAGTCAGTGAACAGAGAGGGCATATGGGATGGCAAAATGCCAATGAAAAGAGAAAGTAGAAATGTTATTAATACTATTTAGTTGTACAACTTCATTGGCTATTTAAAAACTAACACCTGGCCAGGCGTGGTGGCTCATGCCTGTAATTTCAGCACTTTGGGAGACTGAGGTGGGAGGATTGCTTGAGTCCAGGAGTTCGAGACCAGCCTGGGCAACATAGTAAAACCTCATCTCTGTAAACAAGAGCAACAAAAAACACTTTTGTTTCCTTTAAGTACTCATAATTTGCTTCCTATACAATCCTTTGAGTGTCCTCTGTATATGTATTTATGTACTTCTATATGTACTCTCTGAACCTCCATGTGCCTGAAAATTGGGATCATAAATGTGCCTACGTCAAGCATAGGGATTAAATAAAATAATTAGCACAATGTCTAGTATTTAGTTAATACTAATAAGTACAAGCTGTAATTATAGCAGTTAATACTGTGTCCCTGATAATACTTTAAACCCAATAGGTTGGCACTATTGCTGCCTCTCCTTCACCCCTTGTAAATGTGCTAAACCTTTCCAAGATTAGATTGTCAGGTTGGTCGGGATATTGTTTCCTATATTTAACCTTTATGGCTTGTATGATGCTTAAGTAAACTTGCCCATCTTCAACATGACCCAGTTCATTCCTCTCTGGTTGCATGTATGAACTATGATTTACTTGGGCGGGAGATGAGGGAAGAAACACCCCTGAAAAATCTACATATCAGTGGAAGGCAGAATCTTAAAAGTAGCAAAAAGTCAATTCTCCAAATTTATTTGATTTGGGCAAAGTGGTGCCAGGATTGGGACACATTTTTTTATGCCTAAGTGAAAGCAGTCCAGAGGTCCTTCAACAAAAGACGGGGGCAGCGGTGGGGGAGACTGTGGGTGATGTATTTATTTGATGGGTCACTAGTCCAAGTAAAAAAGAAATAAATTATGATACACTCCACAGTTTAGATGAATATCAAAAAGCATGATGAGTGGAAAGGCCAGACACAAAAGAGTACATACTGAATGACTGCATTTATATGAATTTCTAGAACAGGCAAAACCAGCGTATGGTGATAGAAATTAGAACAGCAGGTGGATTGGCCGGAAAAGAACAGGACAAATTTTTCTGGTGTGGTTGAAATGTTCTATATCCTGATCAGAGTTACTTGGTTACTTGGGTAAATGCATTTGTTAAAGCAGAACTGCACATTTCACTAGGGTAAACTATATCCTGGTAAAAAAAATTTTTTTAAACAGCCAATAACTTGAGAGAAAAAGACATGGTGAAGTAAGAAGACTTAGCAGATTTTATTTATGAGCTGCACCTATTGTGAGGTGGATACCCACAGTAATAGTTACATGACATATTTCTGTAATAACAGTGATTAGTGAGTGGTTTAATATACAAATAAAGAGAAACTCAAAAGAAAGTGGTTAAAGAGTAACATTTCTTTCTTTCTTTTTTTTTTTTTGAGTCAGAGTCTTACTCTGTCACCCAGGCTGGAGTCCACAGGCACGCTCACGGCCACCCCAGCCTTGACCTGCTGGGCTCAGGAGATCCTTCTGCCTCAGTCTTCCAAGTAGCTGGAACTACAGGCACATGCCACCAAGCCCAGCTTATTTTTTAATTTATTGTGGATATGAGGGCTTGTCAAGTTGCCCAGGCTGGTCTCGAACACCTGAGCTCAGGCAATCCTCTCATCTAGGCTTCCCAAAGCGCTGGGATTACAGGCATGAGCCACTGCGCCTGGCCTGCAATATTTCTTTTAAACGAATAAACATACTCTTACTTTCATTAGCCTGGCCATAATTGTTACTGATCCTTGATGTTTTTTTGCATAGGCCAAAGCATTGCTGCTCTTTCCCCAGTTGCTAACATTCTCCTTAAATATATTTTCAGGACTTTGAACCTGGCCTCTGATTATTTACTTACTTAGTCAATAAAATTTGAAAGAAAAAAATTATATTTACAAGGTAAAGTGTAAGTTGGTCGCTTCAACAAAACTAACACAGGACTGTTACTTCCTGGTTTAGGTAATTGTACTTGGTCCTTTGCCTAGTAGCGAACCCTCATGTCTAAGTCTCACTAAGAATTAAGTTTTAGAAAGGACATTGAAACATTACCTATTCCTCTTTTTAGGCAAGAACATACTCAAAGCAAACCAGATATTTGAAAGTCAATATTTTGTTCTGATTTTTAAATAATACAGTTTTTGCAGAAATTTTGAAAATGTAAAGGAGGAAATAATTATCACCTTTTTATGTTTATCAGTTAGAGGTAATTATTTATAACTGTTACGTATGAACTGTTCTCAGCACTGGGGATACTATGTGAATA